AAACTCTCATTTATCTTACCTTTTTTCTTTTTTTTTCCAGCTCAGCTTGTTCTTCCCAATTATATTCTGCCTCTGCACTGTATTTCTGGTGGTGGTGCCTTTATATAGCGACACTATCAACTCGTTAATCGGCATCGGCATTGCCTTATCGGGAGTTCCCGTCTACTTCCTGTGCTGCCATCTACCTGCCACACGGCGGCCGATGTGGCTCCGCAAGTTTATTGGTATGTCTTCTAATACTGGTTTGGGTTTACAGAGTTAAAACTGCTCCGAATATTGATGCGTCTATATTTTCGTTCCCCTTTTCCCCAGCATCTTCAGGTATACTGATTCAGAAGGTGTGCTACTGTGTTCTTACTGAGATGGACACCGGGGATGAAAAGGCAGAGTAGAAGAGGACAACTGTGCTATACCTGGAATAAACCTGGAAACCTCGTTTTACACTGGTTACAGTTTTAGATTGATCAGATATCAAAGCAAGTCCTTTATATTTATAAATATTTATGTAGAAGAGCTGCATTTTTGACCAGTTGAATGCTGGTTTAAGGGGAACAAGAAACAAACTCCTTGGTCTGGTTTCACAGACATTTAGGCCTTAGTTTAATTAGGACATTTAAAGGTGCAATAGATTTTTTTTTTTGTTATGCTGGTTAAAAGTCTCCTCATATCCTGACAGCAATCACTATGTTAAGTGGTCTAAATGTATTTTTAGTAAATATATATCATCTGTCCGGATGAAATGAAAGCATGCCTGTTCACCTAAACATCATACGTTACCAGCGGGTTCATGTATGCTGTGCAGACAGAGCAAGAGTGGCAGGCAAACAGTGCTATTGTAGTACTGTTAATCACTACTGTAAAGTTTGCTCACTGTGTCTCTGGTCGTCTCTTCTGGTCTGTGTGCGTTCATGTTTTGAAGGCGGCATGGCTTTGGATGGCGATTTGCAGGGAATTTCCAAGATCACCTATTGCACCTTCAAGTAGCTTTTATAAATGTGCCTTTTGAAAAACATTACTGATGTGCATCCTGAGACAAAACATTGACACTGACTTATTTTAAGATATATCAGTGCAAGTTGCTTTCAGTTAAAACAGCTCAAACATGCATTTTAGTCTGGGACTAGACTTAAGCCTCGTCTGTGAAACCGGTGGATAATGTGCGACGAAACAATTTTGGACTTGGAGTTTGTTGCAGGGGCTGGTAAGATGATGAAATGATAGCACTGATAACAGAGAAATTACTTAGAGACATTTGTACCATTGCTTTGAAACAGCTATAAACCTAAATCAATCTTGCACATGATAATTTAACATGAATTTAGATGCTTGTACACTGAAACATTGCCACTACACAATGTGTTATCTTTACAAATTTATATCTGAATATCAAGCAGTATTTTCCATTTTTTGTAAAGACTGAAATGACAAATACAGTGTTATTATGGATTTGTGATAAATAACAAGTTGAATAAGACAAAAAATAAAGGACAAAATGCAAAACCCGTGTGTGCGTGTTAATCAGGAGGACATAAATATTTACGTTGGGCTCTTAATATTTGATCTGTCATTCTATTTATGTGCTTTGGGTGACAACTACAAGAGGAATATACATTTGTGTGTGTGCATGAATGAAAACAGCACTTCAGCAGACTGTAAATGAATGGAGAAGGTGGGAAGGCAATAAGATTGCTCTTTAATGGCATGAAAACAGCACAACACCTCTTCATCAAATGTCGTATTTCGTCTTAATATTACTACCCATCCCTTAGTCTTTCTCAATACATATATGTACAAAGCGATCACAAAATTCTCCATCGAAGTGTTAGCCAATCGTCTCTTCCCAGGGCCTCTTCTTGTCTTCCTTTGGACTACTCGATTTTCCAGTTGACATTGGTGCTGCTGACTGCTGAAGGGGGTTATGGGTAAAAGTCTGCCTCAGGGGACCTTGGAAAGTGCAGGAATAAACGACAAATGTGAACGGCAAGCATCATCTGTAAAAACTTTGCCTACCCTAGCTTTAAGTGGCACAACAGTTTTCAACAATGATAATAAGAACTGTTTCTTGAGCAGCAAATCAGCATATCAGAATGATTTCTGAAGGATCATGTGACACTGAAGACTGGAGTAATGATGCTGAAAATTCAGCTTTGATCACAGGAATAAATTATACTTTATATTAAAATAGAAAACTGATATTTTAAATTGTAATATATATATTTTTTTAAACATTTTTGATCAAATAAATGCCCCTTTGGTAAGCATAATGAAAAATCTTACTGACCCCTAACTTTTGGAAGGTAGTGTAGGCAGTAGACGGCATAGAAAGTTCAGTGGGTTTTGAAACTGAGCTATGGAGAGCAAATCCTCACCTTTGGCTGCCATATCCAGGTGTCCTTTAATTCTCCTGTCTCTCTCCTCCAGCTGCTGAGCCAACTGGGCATTCTTCCATCCTGAGGTGAACAGACACAGAAACATTATTATTTAGAGAGTAGAAGACAGGCAAAGGACAAGACCAGGAGAGAAGATTCAGATACAAAACCGTGTTGCTCTTGTGAACTACAACTAAGGCCCTGTTTACACCTGGTATTGGTCGTCCGGATCCGTCACTTTTGTTCACTTTCAAACACTTCTGTCCTGATTTGTTCGAGGGGAGGGTCTATGGGGGGGTAAATGTGTGGGGTTTGTCAGATCTTTTGATCTAATGGACGAAATGAGCTCACGCAATTTACATAAATGAACGCGACTGGAGATGACGGAAAAATATACAGAAAAAGGCAGCTTTCGTTTCTGCTCTGACAGCCGCAAGATCAGCTGAACGCTGCGAGTGTGTGTTAGAAATCAGGAATGGTGAGAGAACATTGTATTTGGTACGGTTTTTGTCTTCAAACCAAACTTGGGTGTCTAGCCAAAGTTTAAATCCCGTCTGGCTAGCCGCTTCCCATAATGTTTAAACATTAGTTCAGTTGGCAGAGAGTAGACGGTCTTTTGTGACTGTTTGAAAGCATTCGACCACATGAGCGTTTACACTAAGAAAGCAAGTGGTAGATTGTGGAAAAGCTCAAAACGTTTTAGACCCCGTTTACACCTGTATTTAGCGTCGTCCAATTGTGATTCGATTGACCAAAACGCATCTTAATACCAGGTGTAAACACATTTTCAGTAATTGAAATAAGGCTGAATGAAATAAAATAAAAATATTCGATTTTAAAAAACATAAATGAAAATTAGAAATGTTGCCTTTGCAACTAACGGAAATAAATAAGGAGTGTCTATTTACACCAAGAGCAAATAGCTCATGTTGTTGGCAGAGGCTACTTACACTAACTCTGCCCACCAATGTATGATTGAGTCAGACAAAATTGCAAAAGAAATGCCGTTGATAAAAGAATCAGTGGCGTGGAGAGTAAGGTAGGTGGCGTTAGTTTTTAATGCAACCGAGCAAAGCTCAAATCCACCTTTTTACGAACTCATTCTTCTCCCTTTTCCCATCGCATAACTGAGAAAATAACTGAAAAGCAGAAATAAAGTGCTTAAAGGGGATTTAACTGTGGGAATACTTGTGTTTAACAGGCTGGGTTAGAGGTTGGTTTAGGACTGGGCTTTATGGACAAATTATGTCCCAATAAAGCAGCATCCATTTATGATCTATGATCTAAATATAATAGTATTACACTAAATTTGTTGTTATTATTGCACACTGTTTTATAATATACTATAATACACTGAGGTGTGAAGTATATAGATAGCATTTTAAACTAATTTCAACTTTTTGTTGCCATTTACACTTGCAAATAGCCACTGTCAAATTGAAGTTCAAGTTGAAGTACTAAAATTGAAATGAAAATAAAGCTATATAGAAATATAAAAAATGCACAGATCACATTAAAATTACTAAAGCTGAAACAAAAAATTTAAATAAAAAAGCTCATTTAAAATATTAATAAATAAATAAATTAATTAAATAATCCTTAAATCCATCCACACCTTTCTTGATGCTTTCTATGAAACCTTCGTTCATAGGTAGTGCTGAAGGTGGGTGTGTGATGCGTACTGGGATGTTAAGCTTCTGTCTCACTGTCGGGTGCCTCAGCAGGGCCACCTGACCCAGCGAGAAGAGGTTAGAGGTCATCCAGTAGGTAAACACCGCCTGTAAAACACACAGACCACATGAAACACAGACAAGAGAAGGCCGATCCCTTCACAAATATTGTGTGGCGAGAGAGTGTGAGAGACTAACAGTGGGGAAGTGAATCGTCAGAGGGAGGATAACAAAGGGCATGATCCTGAAGACGGTCTTCATGGCCTTCAGATTGGGGTTGTCTACACCAGATTCAGCTCCCAACTAAAAAAAAAAAAAAAAAAAAAACACACACATTTGAAATGGCTGTACTACCTCAAAAATGTGGCTGTCAAGCTAAAAAAAAAAAAAAGAACAAAAAAAACATTAATATGGTTCATACAACCCATGGCTAAATTCCAATTCTCAAAAGACATACAACAGGTAAGATACAAAACCAATATAAATGTTTTAAAAATAGAAAATGCAAAAGTGATCATATGGTGACTTATCCCTGGTCACAATATGCTTTCATTGCATCAAAAAGAGCCTCTTGTTCCGTGACAGAAAGAACGTTTTGGGATTACTTTACAGTTAGTAAATTATTTATTTATTTATTTGCATTAACTAATTTACCTCTAAGATGGCAAACATAGTGCCAGTCACGGCAATGGGGAGAATGTAAAATGGATCAGATGCGGTTAGATCTGTGAACCACCAGAGGCCGCCAGTCTGCAAACTTGGCACAGGGAGATCAGCCATCTTACGCAAGGCAATGAAGAAAGATACGAAGATTGGAGCCTGAAGAGGAAAGAGAGAAAAAGTGAAATATATGACTACTAAACAGCAGCTGATTATCCAAGTAACTTGAACAGCGATCAGATGCTCATAAGAATGACGCATTAACGGTAACTGACCTGTACCAAGGGCACTAGGAACCCACGCAAAGGGTTCACGTCATGTTTCTTCTGAAACATCATCAAGTCAGTATATGCCTTTGAAACTGAAGAAAGGAAATTAATTCTTCTTAATTAAAAAGAATAAAATAATAATCCACGACTAAAAAGTGAAGACTAGAATGAGAGAACACCAGAGGAAAGAAAAAAGAAGCAATGCATGAGATAAGACCATTTACACACTCAGATATATGAAGAGAAAAGATGGTTTAGAAAAGATGACACACTTACAATCAAATTTGTTACCGCTCTGCTTGGCTTCATTCATGCGGTTGGTGAGTTTTGTCATTTCCGGCATGACGTTGTTCAGTTTGGCTGCCTCTCTCTGTCCCTTTACAATGACCGGGAACACAACACACCGAGCAACAATGGTGCCTGAGGAAAACAGACAGGTAGTTATGGTAAAAAAATAATAATAAATAAATAAATAAAAAAACAGACAGACAACAGACAAATGGATAGACAGACAGACAGATAGAATTCATAATTCTGCCTAATTTATAAACAAAGATGCACAAATCTACCTGCAACAATGGCCCCCCACCATGGCAGCCCAATGCCAACATGCATAAACTCCAGCAGGTTCTGGATCAGGCCCACAGGTGTGGGGCTGCACAGGCCGAGCTCTGATAGGCTGGCTTCAGCTCCCTGCAGAACATCCAGTGCAGTGAGAGGAGCCTCGGCCACTTGCTCTGTGATTGGTGGTGTGACTGCGGGGGCGGGGTCAGCAGCAAGACTTGGGATGGAGACCGGGACAGATAGAGCAGCATCTGCCGTTTCACTTGGAGTCGACAAGCTCTGAGCTGCTTCAACCGTCTGTAAAATAAGCAATATACTTGAGCAGTTGAAAATCAATTACAATAGTCAATTCACAAAATGACCTTCAGAGATCTGTTAGATCTAATTGAGATTAATGGGAGGGGGGGGGTACTTAAATATACAAGACTTTCAATGAGTTTAAGGTCTGGCGGTTTTGCCTATTTAAACCCAAACAGCGACTTTTTTTTTTGGCCAGGCAGTGTATATGGCAGTAGTAGAAACACTTTGCCACTGAAAGAAAATTCCCACCTGCGAGCTGTTGTGTCTGACTGCCACGGCACTGACCAGCAGGAACTGGCCATGACTGGGACACCCAAGAAGTGCCCTAACTAGAGGACCCCTACTCCCTCTGCCAGTGTGAAGATGCGATCTCGGTACAAACCACTGCAACAAGATGGGAGTCAGGAAAAATGTCAGATTGCACTATCAAACACAGACCTTTTAAAAACAACAAAAAAAAAAAACAGGGCTGTTCAGTATATTTACATTTATTCATTTTTAGTAGACAATATTATATAATGCAACTTACAAATGAAGAACATCACAATTATTTTGATGCAAGAGTGATTGTAGAGTAGAATGATACTAACTAGATTAGTACAAAGCAAGGCGGAGGTGAAATGCAAAAAAGGAGAAAAATAATTTATAAATGAATGAACAAACAAATAAATAAATAAAGAGTTTTGAAAAATAACCTTTTCTTGAATATCTAAGCCAGTTCTCAACCTTTTTGACTTGAAGGCCCCCACTGTCCAACACTATATTCAAAGACCCCATATATGACTAACTATAAAATATTATTAATAGAAACTGGGAGTGTCAGTACAGGCCAATTAACCACAATTCATTTTGTGATTCCAGAAGTTCCAAGAACTCCATGATCTTCAATAAAAACTAGATTAAAAAGTTTGTAGAGAAACTTTGATGTTGGCTTGAGAAAGCCTGGCCAGAAAGTTTAAAAGTAGTTTTAAAGTTTGAAGGTTTTGAGTTTGAAGAAGTTGCTGTTTGCGATGATGTTCTGTGTGGTTTCTAGGGTGTTGCTACACAGTTTCTAGGGTGTTGCTATGTGGCTTTTAAGGTATTCTGGTTGGTTGTTAGGGTGGAAAAAAATAAATATTATTGTAGGTTTCATATTATAATGTTATTTTCTTTACATTTTAATTAAAATCGATCATAAAAATTCAATACTAATACATTACAGTTATTAATATAAGAATTATATATTATAGTATTATATTATCAGTCTATATTATTATAGTATAGTATCAATAGTATTATCAGTCACATGACGACGCTGTTATTCTACAAGAAATGTACATAATACAAATTATGACACAAATATATATATATATAAAACACAAATTAAATATATTTATAATAATCTCTCCAAACAACCCTGATCAAGACACCTTGTTACCAGGCAACATATTCATTTATCAACCAATCAACAAATGGTTTCTATGTGAACATTAATCCTGATGGTTTAACAGTTTCACTTTGAAATGTTTTGAAGATGTCAAGAGACATTTAGAACCGCCCTAAACTACACAACCTCAGCTATGCTATTTAGCTTCTGTCAAAGTCATGTCAAGTGAAGTACAACGTTTTTGAGGATTTTGGGGAGCGAATAGTCAACGTACAAAACGCCACTCACCTTATTCCCTGTCAGAGCAAGAGGAAGAGTAGTAATACTCGCTGTGCTTGTTTGTCGAAACATACATGTTGTAAGACATTCAGTGACCACTCGGCCTCTGAGCGCAGCCATCTTGGATCGAACGAACGCATTGTACGGTGAGCGCAAAGGGACAACGCGTTTCAGCTACGCCCCCTTGAATCATCTGAATGCATTCTACCCATAGACTCAAAAAGAGGAACTGATCTAGCCTGGATCTAGCTGGGGAACTACAGGGGAGACCGTTTTTCGCTCCTGTACACAGGAAACATATGAACCTTTGTTTAACATAGGAGAAATATATAATTATTACATCTTAAACGTTAAAAAATGACGGAAGATGTGGATAACTGGGAGGAAGATTTGGAAGAGGACGCCGTGATAGCAAATGTCATCAAAAACTTGAGTAGGCTAATCTGACTTCCCCCCCCCCATTTTATAATGATAAAAGTTAAATTAAATGAAAGATAAGATAATTTGATTAAATCAAATAATAGAAAGTAAAAAAAAAAAAAAACATCACAAAAAAACTGAAAGTGAAACGGACCAACATTTATTTTAAAAGGAAGTTTTAGGGGAAACAACAAAACAGAAACATATATGTTTTATTGTTTTTTAAATCCAGATATACAGAAACAACATACTTTTTCTGAAGTACATCCATTAACTGAAAGAGTGGACTCTGGTAAGTTGACCTCAAATACATCAGCATTATGACCTCTATGATTATGACAGAAAATTGTGATTTCAACATTCACTTTATGTATGTACTTCGTCAACTTTTTAAGTAAATTATTTTTTTGTGATCAGTCGCATTGCCATGTGGTCATCAAATGCCAGCAGACTATGTTGTGGCTTGGTTCAAGTATTATCTTAAACAGGTTGGTACCTATGGCAATGTTTAAATTGTTTATTTACTGACACATTTGCTACCATTTTATGTTCAACTGTTTATTGTCTTTTAGAAAAATACCGAATTTTTCTGCCCTGGCTTTAATGATGTTCAGAGGAAAACCTGTGGCGCAAATCTCTCTTATCAGGAAATCTGTCAGCTGATACCACTGACAGACAAACAACGGGAATTCTTAGAGGAGAACCTCGCTGCACTTGTTGCTAGAAGGCTGTTTGACTTTAAAGCTGTAAGATTATTTAATTTGTCTGCTGTTTTCGTGCATATGGCTTCTTAAAGGGATAGTTCACCCAAAAATGAAAATTAGCCCATGATTTAGCCTACTCTCAAATAAATTGTGCTCTAAAGTTAAGTTTGTTTGGCCGGAAGCTAGTTATTTTACTTTATAAAGTTTTGAATATGGATATTTTTCTTACACAAACGCATCGCTTCAGAAGGCCTTTATTAACCCCCCGGAGCCGTGTGGAGCACTTTAATGATGGATAGATGCACTTTTATAGACTTCAAAACAGAAACAGCAATTCACTGCCATTATAAAGCTTGGAAGAGCCAGGACATTTTTAATATAACTCCGATTGTATTCGTCTGAAAGAAGAATGTCATATACACCTAGGATGGCTTGAGGGTGAGTAAATCATGGGTTAATTTTCATTTTTTGGGGGAACTATCCCGTTAAAGGTGCTCTAAGCGATGTCACGCGTTTTTTAGGCCAAAACATTTTTTGTCACATACAGCAAACATCTCCTCACTTTCCGCTGGCTGCCTGTCCCCTGAACACACTGTAAAGAAACGCGATCTCTGTAGACAGCCCAGGCTCCACAAACAGCAACAAAAACAAACTCCGGCGACCCGCTCCACGAAACATAACAAACTGTTCCAGCCAATGACCGATAAGAAGGGTTTGGGGGTGTGGTTTGGGGGGTTAGTGTGCGGATGAGGAGGAGGGAGGGTCTAGCTAGCCTCCGTTATGTTTGACAATAGTTCGAACGTCAACAAGAAGTGACGTCACCCAGGATCGCTTAGAGAACCTTTAATGTTCGTTCACACCAAGGCCGATAAAGGTATATTTCTAAAAATCGTTCTAAATATAAAAGAATAGCAGAGTCCACACCACAAGTGAAACGATGACGGCAGAGAGGAATGATATCGGTGGAATAATTTTTAGAATGATTTTATTTCTAGCGGATGAATGATAAAAACATTAACAGCCAATCAGAATCCATCCTTCTTTAAAGAGCTCGAGCATTTAAAGCGACAGTAGACAAAACTTAAAATAAACAGAACTATATCAACCGCTGGTCTGGACGCTAATATTATCGTTATAGCTATCTGTATAGTTAGCATTCTTGGTGTGAACGGGCCTTTACACCAGGGGTTTTCACGATAGGGTCCGGGGACCTCCGCAAGGAAGTGTTAGGGGGTTCATGGAAAAGTTCAGAGAAAAGCTGTGTAAAAAATTATAAAAAAGTAATAATAAAAAGATTAAACTAAGTAACTAAATAAAAGTAATAAATTCATTAATGTAAATTAACATTTGTAAAAAAAAAAGCAAGACACCAAAACCCCAATCACTCCCCAGAAGCCACAGCATAATGACTGCCAACTGGCCCGGGTGTGTGTGTGTCCACGGTTTGCAGTGTGTGTGTGTGTGTTTGCTGTTCACTACTCACTGCTACTAATGTCTGTGCACTGAATTGAACCCATTCAAGTTAGACGACAAATTCAGAGTATGTCACTTTCACTTTCATATTGGCTAATACTAATAGTACAGAACTAGAGAAAACGCAATGAAATGTAATCAACACATTTATAATATTACTTTTCCCACAGTATTATATAGAACTGCCTTTTAAATTTTAGGATAGAAGTTCTCCGCATGAGGATAATCATATTTGTGAGTCCGCAGCATATAAAAGATTGAAAACCCTGTCTTACCAACAGTCCAAATGCATCTGTTTGTCATTACTGCAGTGTCCAGGATGTCAGTCTCATGTGGAAAGAAGAGATCGAAGTAACCTGTGTGTAAACTGCATTATCTGCACGGCCAACATGAAACGGACTTACTACTTCTGCTGGAACTGCCGGAGGGAATGGAAGGGGCCGGCCAATAATGCTGTGCGGTGTGACAATAATGGCTGTGGACAGAGAGTGGTAAATAAAATCATAATTTGACCACAGAAATGATTTTATTTGAACTTATATTAACATTACATTAACATTTTGTTGCATTTGAACAGAGAACTTCAGATCCTCTTAAGCCATGCAAACCCGAGATCAAAAGGGAAATGCTTAGAGAAGAGGGAGAAGATGTAAGTGCTAGAATAATACTATATATGTATATAATTGAAACAATTAAGAAACACACAGTATTGTGGTCATATTCTTGAGGATGTGGGAATATACTCTATATTTTAGTATTTTTTATTGTATTATTCTTTATGATTGTACAGTATTATTATGTACAAATTAAGGAAACATGTTTGTGAATTCTTCTTTGTCAAGATTTACCCAATGAAAGACAAATCCCCTGACAGAAAACGTCTGGCTTTGCTCATCAACAATGTCGAGTTTAAACACATAGATGACAGGACCGGGGCAGACAAGGATGAACTGAGAATGGAGATGCTGCTGAAGGGTCTGGGTTACACTGTGGTGACACTCAGAGACCTCACTGCACTGGTGTGTACAAGTGTATTTAAGCCAAATAGGAACACTTGTTTAATCTACCTGAGCTAAGAACCAAAATTTGTGGCATTTTTAAAAGATATTAAAGGGATAGTTCACCCAAAAATTTAAATTCTGTCATTAATTACTCACCCTCATGTCGCTCCAAACCCGTAAGACTTTCGTTCATCTTCAGAACACAAATGAAGATCTTTTTGATGAAATCTGAGAGATTTCTGATTCTGTCCCTCCATTGACAGCTACACAACTGCCACTTTGACGCTTCAAAAAGTTGATAAAGGGATCGTAAAACTAATCCATATGAATTGGACAACATTTTCTGAAGAGACACAATCGCTTTATATGATGAACAGATTGAGTTTAGGCTTTTATTCACATATAAACATTTATCAACTCACACATCAGTTGTGGTAAACAAACTTTCAAGAACCAATGAGGTTCATTCTCGTGTTACGCATCACGTTTGAGCTTCTGCAAGAACCAATGAGGTTCATTCTCGTGTTACGCATCACGGGCACGTTCAAGTTCAAAATGGTGCGCAACGTTTTTCTACGGTTTCTGGGTTGAACGTCATGTTTCCTAGAAACGGCGTGCACCGGTGTGCAACGGGGTTTGAGATGCGTTTTCTCTTGTTTGGTGTGTGTGTCAGAACTGCAGTCCAATCAGCAGCAACATGTATATAAAGCACGCGGTATTAAAGTGAACTCGCACAATGGGTTCAAGGAAAGTCATTTACAAATGTGTTCCATGCAGCTCGCTATACGCAACAACTGAGGATATTAGAAGACATGTTTGTCGTAAGTTTTATTGTAAAAATATAGGATATCAACATAATGATGTAGTTGTTTATATTTTTAGCTTCATTGCAAGTGTATGATATTTGGTATAGAAATAAACAATGGTAATTACGTGCTTTTCCTAAAAATGAGAAAGAGAATACAGGGTATTAAAACAGTATGAGCTACAAATAAAGTCAGTATGTGAGGCTAAATAGACGTGTTTTAGTCTGAATTAGGTAAGATGTGTGCTTCCATTTCAGTTTCCACAAATCCCTTCACTCGATTGGGATGTTCTCTTGTGTTCTGGGCGGCAAGTGCAGTAACTGTAGTAACTGTAACATCGGGCATATTTTAAACACATATTTATACTGACTTCATCAGGCTCCGAAAATTCTTCACAAAGAACACAAAGAATGGCCTTCTCGGCTGCCATAGTCGCAACTCTTGCGTCATCAGAACAGTGTGTTCAACGCATCACCGTTTCTGTTTAAAAAACGTTGTGCAACATTTTGTCGGGGCTGAACGCAGCCCAGGTTTGTTCTCGCGCTTCAAGCAGGTTCAGTTTAGCTTCTGTTTATGTTCGCTGATCAATATTTATATGTGAAAAAAGCCTCAATTAAATATGTCGATAAATAATAAAAATATGTCGATAAATAAATTAAATGAAAGTCTTACGGATTTGGAACGACATGAGGGTGAGTAAATGATGACAGAATTTTTATTTTTGGGTGAACTATCCCTTTAAAGATTGTTGTGGCAAAAAATAATTAACCGACCAATATCACTGCGTAAGAGACATTCTGAGACAAAAGGTATTTTTAAAATGATTTATTCTTGCAAGAATAGGTTCAGTCTGACACACAGAAGTTACGCTGTGCATGAGAGTGACACACCCCCAGGAAGATATGAGACAGCTTGTATACTCTTTTCAAGGTTCTCCCTTATAAGTTGGCTCCAGATAAGGTCCTTTCTGCTGTTCAGTTTCTACACAAGGACAGAACTGATACTGAAATAAACTGGCCAAATCTGACTGTCCCTAAGGTCAGAGGTCCTGTCCCATATATTCCCGAAAGTCACCCACAAGCACATGTATATTTTACTCATTGAATAGGTTCAATAGAAACACATGGCTCAAACCACCTAGTAATCTTCACTACTGATCAATGTAAGATTAAAATTTCCACAACAATTATTGATGGTTTGATGTTCAGGGCATGCTTGCTGCCATGCGAGACTTCGCCCAGCGCGAGGAACATGTCCAGTCGGACAGCTGCTTTGTGGTGTTGATGTCACATGGAGATGCCAATGGAATCTGTGGAGTTTTTAATTCCCCCAGCAGTGACGATGAAGAGGACATTTTCCAAACAGATGAAATTTTTAATTGCTTGAACACTCCAAACTGTGCTGGATTGAGGGACAAGCCAAAAATTATCCTCATCCAGGCGTGTAGGGGTGGTGAGTTACAAAACATTGTATTACAAAATAAAGATCACAATGTCAAAATATTTGATTGGTTAGAGACCCATCCAGTTCTGAGCCCTGATATAGCAACATGCTCTGACAAATGTTTCCCTTACGTTATAGATAGAGAAGGCAGTGTAGATGTCCAGGATGGTGTGTCAAGACACAGGAGAGGAAAAGAGCACCGTGAAAAAGACTTCTGCTGCCTGAGGTCCTGTACTCCAGGTAAATAATATTAAAGACCCCTTGTGGTGAAAATCAAGCTTTTAATGTTGTTTATATGTCTATGTGGTGTTTTTAATATGCTTTAAGACAAACCATGTGCAAATTCATAAGTCAACACCATTGAGTATTTTCTCCTTAAAACTGCGGTGAACCAAAGACTCAAAAGTCTCAAAATCGCGGATTGAAATCGCTGGTGTTTCTGACGTCACAAACTACCTTGTAACCAATCACGACAATGTGTGATCGTCAACGAGTGAATCTCTTAGCTGGTGTGAGTGAGTGGAGGCGGGGCTAATTTGCATATTCATAGAACCGCATATACTAAATGAGGCAAGGGTGTAGAGTTACATTAAAGCTATTTTACGAGTTCTTTTTTCAAAGAGAAAACTTTTCAATATTTTATTTTGGTGATCAAAGATGAGTTTTATGAGATAAAATTATTTACTACAGGGGGACTTTAAATATGTGTTCAAATGATGTGTTATTTGTTTTGCAAGCAGTGAGGATCAGTCACACAATGTATGTCATAATTTGTATCTTTTTATACAGACACGGTGTCCTATAGAAACAAAGAGAAAGGCTCACACTTCATTCAAGACATTGTGGAAATATTTAATGAGCACGCCTGCCAGGACCACATCGAGGAGCTCTTCAGAAAGGCAAAGTCACATTCTTTATCAAGACAGACATCAAATCTGTAGACATTAATGGTGATCTGTGTTTTTTCAATGGTTGTTGATGTTTACTTCCTTTTATAATTTTGTGTGTCAGTTTGTATGGCTCTATCCAGTCGAACACAAACAGGCCTAGAATAAACATTTTAGGTTATAATGTGTGTGGTTAGTTGTATTGTGATTTTTGTTTTTATTTTTGAAACAGGTCCTTAAGAAGTTTAAGGAGAAACATCCAGATCAGATGCCATCCAAAGAAAGAACAACATTATCTAAAAGATTCTACCTCTTCCCAGGGTTGTAAAACACAGCTCCTACAACTTCAGCTCTTCTTTTTATATTAGAAACATGATGTACGCATCTTTATCATATTTGGGGAAAACATGGAATTTATCACATTTAAATCAGTTTGCATGTTCATATAATTCATGAATATGATTTAGCTTGCTGTCTATCTTGAAGCTCTAGCATTAAAGCACCCCCACTCCCACAGAAAAACTATCAATACATTCTTCTATTTTACACAAATATATCTATTTATTTTTCTTTCTTCAAATTTTTGGAAAAAGGGGGAAGCTAACGCTTGAAATATTATGTATAAAATATAAAATATGTCCATCAGGAAAATCAAAAAAGCAACTGGATGTACTGTATTGTGCACAAACTGTATCAAATTTGATTTCGTTGTTCATTTTAAATGACATATGAACACACATGAATACATTTGTATTGTGTTGTATTGTATGTTGACCTATTTATTGCTAAATCTGCTGACCTAGATTGCAGATATCATTTATTGTAACTGCTCAGCAGTAAAGTTGGATTTCCTGTATTTTAAAACAGAAACCAGCAACACTTTGTTCCCTAAAATTGATGTTAATTGCACTAAACCTGGGAGGCCATGTGTTATCTTATCTATCTATGAATGTATTTTACACAGATGGAATGAGGCATTGGGGGCTAGATATGCTTTGCTTTAGGTGAAAAGTAACCTCAGTATCTCTCAAATAAAGCATCAGATGGACTTGAATTAAGGCTTTGTCTCAACTCACTAAAAATTAGCTGGTTTTATGATCTTTTGTAATACAGCAAATTGTTATGGAATGTCTGAATATAGCTACTGTAGGGCTTATTTGTGAATTAGTGCTATGAAAAAATACTGCATAGGCAAACTATTGCGCAGTAGGAGATGTGAAATAATTTGTCCACAGCAAAAGCCATACATCTCTCCCTCTGAGGGACCTAATACTGAATAAAATAAGTGATTCATTGTGCCTACTTTACTTTAACCGCGTTGAAATCAACTGTCCGAATAACGAGCTGATTTGTTTAAACGAACAGGACTTCGCAATGTTATCATCATCATAAGTAATTTTCCTTTTAGGTAATGTAGCCTTGTGTGCAGGCCTACTGTAGTAATCAAGAAAATAGTTTTGTTTTGAAAATCTCTCGATACATGCTTTGGTTAGATGCGTTTGAGGCAGCGCAACAAATGGACACCGATTCCCCTTATGTTGTAAAATTGGCCAAAGTTGAATTAGTAACTTTCAATCCATAATAATTAAACATATTAGACGGCTCAACACAAGTTAGACGCCTCAAATGCAAATGCATGCAAATTACTGCCATTTCATTCGCTGCAGTCTCAAGGTTTCAGGTCGGCGATCGAAGTGTCTAACTACTACAGATTGAATGTGATTTCACCAACGACCAGCAACGATATGCTTTGGATTTAACCGCTGAACCTCGATTTATTTCATTGGATGACTTTGTTTCGACGATTAAGCAACTGAATCAATCATTGAAGGGTAAGTAAAACAGAGATGAATTTGAATGGACTTTTCACAGAAAAAGGTTTACATGGAGGTAAATATTTTGCTTTGAATTGTGAATGTATTATGGACTTTCGAACGATTTACACAAAGACATCTTGAATGTTGAACTTAATATGTATTTTCAGTGTGGTGAATAGTTAGTATCTGTGTCACAATATGTTAGGCTACATAACCTTTTTGATGTAGCCTTTGATTCCTGATTTGTGTGTAGGTTACAAACCTGAAAATCAGGATTGACTATAAAATTTGGCTATAGGTCCTAAGGCAAAACTGATACACACAATCAAAGACTCGCCATCACTAGAGGTAGATGACTTTATGATGATTTCAAGTTATACACTATGAATTACAATTAATAAATAATTGGGGGGGGGGGGGGGGTGATATATTATAAAAAGGATATATAAAAAGGATGATACAATATATATTTTACAGTTCCTATAAAATGTCATTAAATCGTGTAATGCTAATATACTAACCTGTTTGAGATAGGCTACATTTTTAAAGTATTTTTTTTTTAATTTAATATAGGACATTTTATCAATTAACAGGTTTTTACTGACGCATTTTTCCATTCTTTAAGTAATTTTGGAAGTGTACGGTGAAATTCTTGAGCTCACAAAATATTTGTAACTTGTGAAATATTCATGCAAATCTGTTTTTAAAGTTTCTAGTTGTCTGCTAAATTAAATCACTGTGTATATCTGTGTTTGTGTATGATCTTAGCTGTACAGTCATGGCTTCCCCCAGCGGTTTGTCTGAACAATGCACATGTTCAATTTGTCTGGACGTGTTCACTGACCCTGTAACTACTTCCTGTGGACACAACTTCTGTATGGCCTGCATCAGAAGCCACAGAGACCGAAGTACAAGCTCAATGTGCCCACTGTGTGGGAAGGCATTGGACTCAAAACAAGATTTTAACATAAACAGAACGATTAGAGACATCGCAGAGGACATCAAAAGAAAAAGGATCCAGAAGAAGCCTGAAGTGTCCTGCGATAGTTGTCCAAAGAAGAAAATGCGGATTGCTGTTAAGTCATGCTTACACTGTGGAACTTCTTTCTGCAAGACTCACTTGGAGCCCCATGAAACTGCAGGAAAACTCATGAAACACAAACTAATTAACCCCGTGAAGAATCTCGATGAATACATTTGCAAGAATCATGAAAGACCTCTGGAACTTTACTGTAGAGATGATCAGACAGCAATCTGTCAATTCTGCACCGAGAGTGACCACAAGAATCATAATACTGTCTCTTTGGAGGAGGAGAGTTTGGTAATGCGAACTACTCGCCAGTCATTAATAGCAACTCTCAAAATATACAGAATCATTTCCAACATTAGAAACATTACCAACTGATGATACAGGCTACTACAACCTACATTACTTTATTTTCACAGAAATTGCTGATGAATAAAAAGATAGCTGTGCAGCAGAAAATTCAGGACAAGTTGCGGAAAATTAAAGAAATTCAACATTCGTCAAGGTTTAACAAAGTAAGTGGTATTTAATTTCTGTGCTCCTTCTATATTGTTTGAGTGTCCACAAGATCATTTAGTTTTATTTTGTGCTTTAACAATGTAGTGATGATTTTTCAATTAACAATATTTTCTTCTTAAAATTCACAACAGCAAGCCAAAGAGAGGGAGATCGAAGAGAACATCAAGTTTTTCAAGGATATCTTTGAGAAAAACAATGCGGAGCTACTTGAGCTCACGGAGGAAAAGCATAAAGAAACGGAAAGACGAGGCGAGGAGCTCATCAGAGAGCTAGAAGAAGAGATCAAGGAGCTAAAGAGAAGACAAACTGAACTGGAGCAGCTCTCAAATCCTATGGATTTCACACAAGTCAGTCTTTCTCATCAAACCATGGTAAGAAATGAAGCCTCATGTACACTTGACTTAGGGCGTTTTTCCCCTCTACCTATTCTAGATTATTGACCTCCTCCTGCACAACGCCATATATACCAAGCGCTCAAGCAACATCAGCATCAGCGCACATGAACATGGCCGTATTCTGAGGAAGGCAATTTTACGGCTTCAGAGTGTCTTGGATGAGAAAATGAGAGAAACTGGTAAATATTTACCAATGTAACCAATCATATTTACACCACCACACACTCTTTAATCAGACAGAAACGCATATTTAGTTCTTCCCCACTGTTCTTCCCACTGTAGTTGGCAGAGAGCTGCGGAGTATACAACGTTATGCAGGTATGGAAAATCTGATTACTAAAAGTTAGATATTATTACAGTAAAAATAAACTCTAAAGGCCAGATTTACTAACAGCTAGTATCAACACGAACCCTCTTTTGCTGTTAAAAAAACCCCGTCTGGATGTAATAAAGGTACACAGGGAGAAATTAGCGATGAAAAGGCGTGAAGAGTTATTTTTGCAGCTGACATTACTGCATATGCATTTGTAGGAGTTTCTCATTCAAACACAACATTTATAGAAGAGTATTTAAATAAGTCACGCAACGTAGTTGTTGCTACACTCTCAGAAAACAATGTTCAGTGGGGTTCTATAACCCTTGGTTTCTTGACTCAAATTTGAAGAACCCTTTATGCCAAAATATAAGGAGAAATTTCTTAAAGGGATAGTTCACCCAAAAATAAAAATTCTGTCACCATTTTCTGTTTCTCACCCTCATGTCGTTCCAAACCCGTAAGACTTCTGAACACAAATGGAGATGGTTTTGATGAAATCTGAGAGATTTCTGTCCCTCCATTGACAGTCTACGCAACTGACACTTTGATGCTTCAAAAAAGTTCTTGTGGTTATATTCTCACACAAGCGAACATGCTTGAGTTTCCGTTTACCACAACTGATGTGTGAGTTGATCAATGTTTATGTGTGAATAAAAGCCTAAATTAAATCTGTTCATCATATAAAGCGATCGAGTCTCTTGAGAAAACTTTGACTAAACGGCTCAATTCATATGGATTAGTTTTACGATCTCTTTATGAACTTTTTGCTGTCAATCTCTCAGATTTCATCAAAAAGGTCTTCATTTGTGTTCTGAAGATGAATAAAAGTCTTACAGGGGTTTGGAACGACATGAGGGTGAGTCATAAATGACAGAATTTAAATTTTTGGGTGAACTAACGCTTTAAATAATTGCATTATACTTTGTTTAATGGCTTATTTCATTTTTTTTCTAGTGATAACGTTTGTTTATGAGCTGATTAATTAGTACATTTAAAATGAAAAATGAATTAAACCTAAATCCATGAAATGATCCCATGATGGGAACTCCTAAAATAAGTCTAATGTAAAATTGACTATCACAAAAGAAAGATAATCCTTTATACTGATGTGTTGTGATATAGCACCATATAAAGTTTTATGTGAATGAACGTGAATTATACTGACTTGGGCAAAAATGTGTATTAACCCTTATATATATTTTATTAGTGGATGTGACACTTGACCCTGACACAGCTCATCCTGAACTCATGTTGTCTGACAGTGGGAAAGAGGTCTGGAATACAGGCAAGTCACAGAAGATTCCTGACACCCCAAAAAGGTTTGACCATTGCTCGTGTGTCTTAGGAATGAAAGGGTTCTCCTCACGGAAATTTTATTATGAAGTTCAAGTCAGCGGGAAGACCGAGTGGGATTTAGGTGTGGCAAAAGAATCCATAGACAGAAAAGGGGAAATTGGGCTCAACCCTGAAAATGGATATTGGACTGTATGGCTGAGGAACAGGGATGAGTATGCAGCGAACGATCGGTCCGCTATCCCTCTCACCTTGAAAGAGAAGCCAGTGAAAGTGGGAGTTTTTGTGGATTTTCAAGAGGGTCTGGTCTCTTTTTATGATGTTGAAGCCAGGTATCATATATATTCTTTCACAGGACAGTCTTTTCCTAAAAAGCTCTATCCATATTTCAGTCCTGGAGAATACGAAGAAGGGCAGAACTCACCTCCTCTGATCATTACACCTGTTGACTCAATCGAATAAATCAACTTTTAAAGGAAATATTCAAATTAACTTTAAGTCTTTGTATATAACACCTTGAGACCTAAATGATGTTCAATGCAAGTATGACCATTCTTTATTTCTACTCTAAATGCAACCATGAATGATCATTAATCAAAAGAATCAATTAATTCATTAAAAATGTATATCTAATGTTGATTTTAATTTGAATTGCATTGTTGGAAACTTATATTCTGAACATAACAAGTAAAACATTAGATTACAAATTCATTACATATTTAATAAATGTTTCACTTAGCATATGCTTTTATCCAAAGTGACTCACAAATGAGGAATGGAAACAAATAAAATGTTTTATCTTTTATTTTGCTTCATTTGCTATTTTCAAATCCAACTTAACATTTTCAACATGTGTTTATTATGTTATAAATTGTGATATATTCATTTTTATATCAGAATTCAAATTCAATGTACAAGAAACACCATGAAAAATTGTAATCATTTATCAATATGTAAGCAACAAAATCACCAAAAATAGCAGTTAAAAAACATAACATAACGACATTCAGAACATTCAATGTTTCACCACATTTCAAGCATTAGTTTTCTCATTATTCACCATTTGTTTGTCTTCTTCTTAAGACTTCTTCTTCTTAAACACCTCAATTGCCTTTGTGTAATTGCCGTAGCTTCCTTTGATGTCACCATCTCGCTGAGTTTTTCAAGCAGTTCTGAGGTGTAATTGTGACCATCAGTGATGTCAATGACATGGTACCTGTTCTGACAACAACGAACCACTTTACAGAGCTTTTTGCAGTACGAAATAAACCTGTCAATGCGTTGCCCAAGTTTTTTAAGCTCTCTGCCATGTGTGAAGATAATCATCATACGTTTTGTGGTTCTTGGATCTAGTCTCTTTTTGAAGGTGTGGAAAAGACCTTGTTGTTGCTCACTGAATTTAGATATCGGTGTTACCCAGAGAATTACATTGGGGCCAGGGTCGGATAACTTCTTCATTTCCTCGTTCCAACTCGATTTGTCGAGGGAAAAGAGATTAGGAGTGTCCACTACAGTGACATTTTCCACTGTCTTTACCATGGACTCTTTCGTCACAGTCTCCGATCCACTTTTGCTAAGAAAGTGGTTTCCACCAAGGATGATGTTGCCAACTGTACTTTTCCCACCTCTGGAAGGCCCCATCACAAGGATCCTCATAGGTTGGTGAATGCTGTCTGGGTTCAACGCTGCCGTTTTGATGCTGTCAGGGTTCAACGCTGCCGTTTTGATGCTGTCTGGGTTCAACGCTGCCGTTTTGATGCTGTCAGGGTTCAACGCTGCCGTTTTGATGCTGTCAGGGTTCAACGCTGCCGTTTTGATGCTGTCTGGGTTCAACGCTGCCGTTTTGATGCTGTCAGGGTTCAACGCTGCCGTTTTGATGCTGTCAGGGATCAACGCTGCCGTTTTGATGCTTCCAGGGTTCAACGCTGCCGTTTTGATGCTTCCAGGGTTCAACGCTGCCGTTTTGATGCTGTCAGGGTTCAACGCTGCCGTTTTGATGCTGTCAGGGTTCAACGCTGCCATTTTGATGCTGTCTGGGTTCAACGCTGCCGTTTTGATGCTGTCAGGGTTCAACGCTGCCGTTTTGATGCTGTCTGGGTTCAACGCTGCCGTTTTGATGCTGTCAGGGTTCAACGCTGCCATTTTGATGCTGTCTGGGTTCAACGCTGCCGTTTTGATGCTGTCAGGGTTCAACGCTGCCGTTTTGATGCTGTCTGGGTTCAACGCTGCCGTTTTGATGCTGTCAGGGTTCAACGCTGCCGTTTTGATGCTGTCAGGGTTCAACGCTGCCGTTTTGATGCTTCCAGGGTTCAACGCTGCCGCTTTGATGCTGTCAGGGTTCAACACTGCCGTTTTGATGCTGTCAGGGTTCAACGCTGCCGTTTTGATGCATCCAGGGTTCAACGCTGCCGTTTTGATGCTGTCAGGGTTCAACGCTGCCGTTTTGATGCATCCAGGGTTCAACGCTGCCGTTTTGATGCTGTCAGGGTTCAACGCTGCCGTTTTGATGCTTCCAGGGTTCAACGCTGCCGCTTTGATGCTGTCAGGGTTCAACGCTGCCGTTTTGATGCTGTCTGGGTTCAACGCTGCCGTTTTGATGCTGTCAGGGTTCAACGCTGCCGTTTTGATGCTGTCATGGTTCAACGCTGCTGTTTTGAACAGTAAATAAACAAATATTTTAAAGATGTATTTTCCCTTAAAAGTTGGAGTGAGAGTATTTCACTTCAACTTACATTTTCTGTACATCAGCATGTATGGTAGGCTTGAACTGTAAAAAAAAAGGAAATACTTTTTTACTACAACATACTATGAAATACTTTTTTTGACATTCTTCACAAGAGAGAGAACAACACTTACTTTTCCAGTGATGCTTCTGATGTCTGTAAGATATTGACAATATTAAAGAATAAAATGAACAGTCTTGAGTCATATCAATTTGCTAATGATATAATGCTAATCAAACAAACAAATGTACCCGTGTTACATTGTAGTCATCAAAACAGTACCATGTGCCATTTTCAAAAGATCTGATGATTGTATCGTAGTGTCCACTACTGTATCCACCCATATGATTTATAACGGCATACAGATCATATATAGGCCAATTATCCTGCAGAGAAAGATGTTACAAATGTTTAGACAATTTTATACTGCTTTTAAATAGCATTTTGTTTTTGGTATGATGGATTGATGAAACCTCTTTGGGTAGACTTAGAGGTACATCCAGACGACATTCATTCTTCTTGTATCTCATCTGTATGTAATCAAAGTCAAACCTCTTCAGATGCAGAGTGAGAACGGTAGGATATTCATCTATTTTACTCCACTGCAGCAAGAGTAAGAAAATTGCCCGGAAGAATGAAAAAAACATATTTTAAGCACAAGTTGTAAACTCATAAATACTTCACTATGATTGGTTCAGTAATCATGGGTTGATCATCTTGAGTGATGTGGAAAAATCTCACATTTTCATTTACTCACAGTTTCTGTTTCTGTTTTGTGGTCACATATGTCACAATACATCCAGTCATCCTCTTCTAGTTTTGAATGTTCAAAGAAGGTCTTCAGGCTTTTTCCCTATAGGGTCAGAAAAATAAAACATGCAGTTTTAGGGGGAAGCTACTGTCTCCCAAGAACAACAACAACAAAAAAAATTTGGCTAACATTAATTTTGCATATAGTCTTCATACCATATCATACTTATCATTTCCGGCATCGATAGACAGCAGTATTGAGATGAACGTGCTGGGTTCTGTGGTTTCATTGCCACATTGGCCACATTTTGTTATGTTGTTAATTTTCCCTTCAAAGACCTGGAACAAATGCACTGTGCTCTCATAGGCTGATTCTTAATTGCATCACCGTAAATAATCAATGATGATAAAAGAGACTTATTTACAGTCAATTGTTTCCCTCTCACCGAAACAGACTTGTGTTTATATGTGACATACCTTAGAGGCATGTGTCCCCACTGCTTTTAAAATCTTCCTATAATACTCCACTGCATCTTGTTGCTCATAAACTCGAAGGTATAAAAGAAGAATTATGAAAACAATGTTCTAGACTTTATACATCACCTGGAAGCTGAATAAATAAGCTTTCTATATATATAGCCTACTGTATATACTATACAGTACATATAACGTATATAGCCTTACACTATATACACAGTATATATATATATTGAACTGTAAATTAAATGAACCTAGCCTACCATTTCTAATTCCAAGACTCCTGGTTATTCCTTCAGTTGTGGCTGCATTTTCTGACAGCTTAGTAAACAGCTTCTGAAGTTGTAGCAAGAGATTTTCCTCACCACAATCTCCAGGAGCTTCATGACTAAATTGAAATTAAAAAGTAAAGAAAAAAGCAATAGAATAAAGCAGGAAATTAGTATCCTAATACCGGTAATTGTATAATATCATACAATAATCATAATCTTATTCATTTATTTTACCTCCCCACTTCCTTTCTGAATTCTGGGGTCATGAATAGAGACTGCAATACTGCATTTAAGTAGCAAGTGGCGCCTTGATTTTTCAGGCCATTGTATTGGACTTCATTCCTGAATGCAAAAGTAACACACACGTAAAGATTTTATTATTTCATGTGTAGATGTATTCTACAAAGTGTCCTCAAATAAGAAAGCGGAACGTCATAATCATAATCACAAAATTTACAGTAGCCTAACAAGCGCACCACGCAATGACGCTTGATGTTTCGATAGGCTACTTTACATATTGATTTTTTGGGCTATGTGGTGTTTTTTTTTTAGAAGTCAACCCACCTGTCATAAGATCCATGTGAACGCTTCTGGGCTGTAAGATGCGTGTCGGGCTTCTTCATGCTGTTTGCGTACATTTTAATCTGGCACATAGGCTATAGGCTAGGAGACTTTAAACGTGTCTGTATTCAAACCGACTGTAAAAAAAAAGATTCAAACCGGGTTTGCACCTGTTGTCTGTTGGATAATCTGTGAATGATTAAACGCATTCCGTGATTAATTTTAAATGCATAATATGCTAAACTCATAACAAGTAGGCCTAGGCTATTCATCACAAAGAAACTGAATTGAATTATTCCACATACATGAATGAAATAATAAGAATTTACCTTATTGAAACTCTTCTTTTCTTCTTGAACAAGGAGGAAATTCATAGAGGACAAAGCCAGTGGCGGCTCCTGCAAAATCTCTCAGGGGGGGCAAATGTTTGGATTATTGATAAGGATAAGGTCCACCCATGCAATGGATAAATTAACAGCTTAAGCATGTAAAGGCAACTTCTCTACTTTAAGATTGTGTTGCAGACCTGACAAAATAAATACATTTATTTTAGTTATAAAATAAATTATTTATTATAATATAAATATAGAGATACAAGGTTTCCATCCCGACAGCAACAATGTATCAGGCAGAATCCATATTGTATATTTCCCTATTTTTTCAAAAATGAATGCTATTGGTCACCCTTTACATCTGTCAATGTGTTTTACAAATATTTTACCAATGGAAAGCATTAAAAGAGCTTGGGAATTATTTTGGGGGAAAAACAGGTTTTCTTTCGTTTCCTGAAAAGTAACAGTTTTGGACATACAAGGCTTCCGTCCGACAGCGCTGATGATGTGTGTGTGTGTGTGTGTGTGTGTGTTATTACGTTAATTAACATTTTACCAAAATTCAAGCTCAAATGGAGTTTGACAAGGGTTTTTGACCAGTAAATGTATTTTCAATCCACTCAGATAGTTTAAGTTATTTTATTAAAGAATCCACTAGGTGGCGACAAATAATATTGTTGACTGAATCGTTGACATGTAGGATAAAGATTGTGTTGGTGTTCGAATAGAAATGTACAAATTTCAAAGTACAATGCTAGGAGTAAAAAAGACTGCTACCATCCTTTCCTAAACTGATTGTAAAAACAAAGTGAGATTTTCCAACACTCGAGTATTAAAATGTTCAGCAATAAATACCTCTTAAGACAGCCTCTGCTTGTCTTCTTCTCCCAAGGCCCTCCTAGATCTTGTTGTTCCTGTTCCTACTTGCTCCTGCTCAATGTATGCTGATTACTACGACGGGGTGAATGGTATTTATTTTAATGACACGATAAATGACTGTGTTATGACTGCGTTCGCCATGACGTTGTTCAAGTTCAACTGGTCCCAACAGTCTCTCTCGCTCTCGTTCTTTTTTATTTTTATTTTTTTAATCACATTTGATAAAGATATTATAGTAGTGTTTCATTTTTTCTTGTTATTCAAATTCAAAATTGTTTTCAAATATTATTTGTCACTTAATCTTAAAGATTTTTAATAGTGTGTGTTTGTTCCCACCAATCGCTGCACAAGTTAAGGATACGTATGATGACGTAAGCACGTTAGTGCGAGCCCTCCCGGAACCCATAGAGAATGCATTGCAGTGCCTGCAGTTAGAAAAAAAACATCTTTGAATGCAAGTCTATGGGAACACTCTGGGCGATTCTCAGCCATAGTGAAATCGCCCAAAAAGAGGCGGTACTCTACAGAACGTGACATGACGCTGATTGGACTATAGTGACGGCTAGCGTAACTCTGTGGTTGAATGAGATTGTGAATGTGATTGAAAAAGTCACTTTTACACTTTGGTGGTGCGTCGCCCAATCGCCCTAATGAAGAAACCGCCCCTGGACAAAGCACAGTGTAGCTACTGCCGATTGCACTTCAAACTATTAACATGCACGTCCAAATTCGCCAGGCAACTGATAAGTTATAGTTTTACTTTCGATTTTGTTGTTGAAGACAGAAACTATCAAGTAGACTGAGCATAAATTCAGACATAATTATTCCAATTTTATTACAACTATATCATTTAATATGAAGAAAGTAAATTTGGTTTATCAATTTGACCACTTCAAGAATAAAAAAAAAAAACATAAAAAAGTAGCAATCACAAATCAGTCAGAGACTTTTCTTCATTGATAAAATATGAGACTGTTTAAAATAATGTTCTCCCATTATCCCCGACATGTGACAGACTAATCCAATTAATTTACAATAGCATATACAGATTCCACACACATAATAACATAGTGATCAACAAAAGTCTCTGTGAGTCTGCCTAAAAGTTGATGATTCCGGCAGAGACTCGAATTCTTCTCATGCAACCTCCAGGTAAACGCAAGACCATGAAGAGGGTGGAGCGATCCTTAATTTGGTGGTCTAGAAACGTATCGTTGTCCTCTAGTTGTTTATCTGTGTACAGCAGTCTCAGGGAAGATGGATCATCCCCTGATAAGATAAAGAAACATTTACATAATAGTATAGCCTATACATAGGCTATTTTACATTTAATTTATTTAATCCATTTCATGAGCTGTCTAAACATGTCAGTCACAATTCTGAATAAGTATTTTATAAATCTATACAATCTAGATTTTAAAATGTTAAAAAAGAATAATTCTCTCAACATGCCCAGATAGCAAAAAATATCGGCACGGCTTCTTTTTGCCGCCGGCCCCAAACTGTCGGCTATAGGTGCGCCCCGATGGCGGAGATGAAACGTTTGCCGCCGAATACGTCACTCCCATTTCTTGCGAGATGCCGCCGGCGAACAGCCGCCGGGCCGCCGACTTCATTCTCTCTGGCGGTTGCCGCCGTCTAAATGAACCGCGGCCGGCTGGCGGCAAGCCGCATTGAAATCGACCAGCCATGTCATTGGCATGAGTGGAACTGACAGCATTTTAACTTTCACATTTAAAGCGATTATAATTATTATGTGAATTATATCAAATTTTGTTATTGTTGTTGCTCCAAAGTCATTAGGGTTTATAACAGATTTGACTCAGTCTGATTCCATGATAAGGTTTAGGAAAATACATTTAAATTACGTTGAAACTCTGAAGCGATTCAGTGATAGGCCTATGTAAAATATATAGAATTATTTTATTCACTTAAGGTTACAATTCTTTACATTTCTTTGATTTATGCACAATTGAGATGCACAAATAGTCCAAAAAGAATTCCTTTTGTAAAACTTACTTGGCAATAAATATCTTTCTGATTCTGATTAGGTTTTAAAATAAATATTTCATTCATGGTATGAACAATTTAGCAGAATAAATGGATGAAGTTAGACTTTTCACCAATGCCTGAAATCAGTGAACAGTGAAAGACATCTGCAACTTGGCCAAAAGCTTGGGTATGCTTTAGATTTTTTTTATTAATTTGCAACCATGGTAGCCTAATATTTATAATAAACATGAAAATCCCTGTTTTGACCTGAAAGATAAAGTGAAATATTTAGAAATATTTAGTCTCTCTGTCACCCCAGGAAATTTCGTTTATGTCTTTCATTTTTTTACAAGCTCGATTTTTTTTATTTTTATTTTACCTTTTACAGGTAAGGGATTAATTTGCAATTGCGAGTTTTGCAATCTGTACAAATGTTTAAGAAAGTATTAAAGCACAAACAGAGAAGTACCTCCACCGGCCGAGAGGGGCAGTACCTAAAAAACGGAAGCAGATTTACCAACACAACAGTGGCCACTCGTCACACGATTTCAGTATTTGGAGACGATATCCTATCTAGTCATTGACTACGATCTTTAAAGTAAGTACATTTTTCCTTTTTGTGTAACGCAATATTATGTTCATTTTTTACATTTTTAGTTCAGCTTTTTCAAATATGTTCTTGCCTTACTAGTCAAGCTAGTAAGTTAGCCTTGTTTACAAAGTTTTCGTCATGTTTCTGACATAGCTAACGTTACTTAGTTTCTTCCTGGCGTTAGTTTTTTCTTTTCTTCTTTTAACTATATTTACGTATGTTTATGCAAGTGTGAGTACTACAGTATGTGGTTTAAGATAGTATTGGTCAGTCGAATAATTAACTAACTTACGTAACCAAATCCTGAAGGACAATTCTCCCGCCCACGTGGGAATGGTAACGTTAGCAAAATCTTTACAACAAGAAAGACTGATCAGTATAACTTGTGTTGTTTTCTAACTAAACATAATGATGTTTTGTTTGATTCGACAACCATGCTGCTAGTCTAGATTAATTTACAGTGTTAGCTAACACATGCTGCTTCGCCTTTTTTACTCACTGAATTCAAGCATGTTCGACATGTTGAAATGTATCTAGCTACAGTAGATCGCCAAAGCTTTACATCTAGAAAGAAAGCTTTACATCTAGAAAGTTTAACTTTTGGTGTTTTCTTACAAAAATAACGATGTATGTGTGTGTGTATATATATATATGTATATATGTGTGTATATGTATATATGTGTGTATATGTATATGATTGTGTTTGTCTGAACATGGTTTTCTGTTGATCCACTTGTGAAAATGACTCGTTTTTTGAAGGGGTGAGCATTTTAATGTTATTGATTTTGCCTGGAAATTAATCAAAAAGTATACTTTATGCAAAATGTTCTTCTATTTTAGATGGTTCACATTGTTCAGTTTATCAACGAGGAGGATCTGCCATTTGCAGTGGTTCCGCAAGAGTGGCTCAGCGAGAGCATGTGCCATTGGCCCCCATTTAACCTCAGCAAAAAGACGAAGGCAACAATTTAGCCATCCTCTGCACACCTCCACACAGCACCTGGGAGAAACATCATTTTAAGTTCATGAAGGGAGCAGGTAAATGGGTCTGACTTGTGTATTTGATTTTCCTGTATTTCATCTGTGTAATTTATTTTCTGTTTATTGTGGATAACTGACTCTTTCATTCATTATTCCCTACTCTAGAATCTTGGAAGTCTCAAGAAAAAAAACTCTAGAAAGATGCATCGATTCCAGAAAACCAGGAAAATGCTGAACTGGTATGTAAAATCTATTGCTGTTATGCTGGATTTGTGATCCTGCCACTAAACTATACCATTTGTTAGATTTTCAAATTTCTGTTTCCTCTTTCTCGCAACCAGGTTTCTCCCCAGTAATCCAGACTCCACTTCACAGAGCCAAGAGTTTGAGTACAAGTAAGTGATGTTATTTGTGAAGTTTTTTTGTCTTGGAAACTATTGCTTCTATTTGAAGTCGGCATGAACCGGAAGTTACAAACGACTTTTCTCCAGTGTTGTGACGTATTTAAAAATGAAACGGTATATTGAACGGAGGGCAGGGTTTTACTCTAGCGCTCCTCTTCTCCATCTCTGCTCATAGCACGGTTTGAGGGGAGTTGCCACGCCCTCGCGCCATAGCACATGACCTGAAGAGAAGAGAAGTCGTTTCGAGGGGGAGGGAAGGGTAACGTATTTGATTAAAGATTATAAGGCTACATGAATTTTAAAAGAATAATGAAGTGCACAGATAAATCATTTATAATAAACACTACAATATTACATATAAAAATACGAATTGTAAAATCTTACTTCAAGAGCAGGTGAAGCAAGTTCAACAAACAATGTTGAAGACGTTTGCTTGCACTGAGCAATTAGGTACAACTTGCAAACAGCACCTGTGGCTGTCGGTTTAATTCCCACTGGGGCTACCTGTACATGTAGTAGACCTAGATATAAAGTAAAATTTAAGATTGTATACTGCATATATTACAGTCTGAATCCTTAGCCTTTCACATTTTTATTTATTTATGAGAAGCTTCAGAGAAATGTAATTTGTAACACTTTTTTGGATTTTCAGCTTGGTGTAGGGGATAAAGCATGTTTTAGAGACATGTTCCTGAAGACCATTGTTCAAAGTAAGTTGGATATTTTTTTTTTATTTAAGTAGATGTGTATGTCCTATTGTCCTCATGCAATTCAAATTAAATGACAGATCTGTATTTTCTATATTAGCCATCCGGAAGGACCCGGCAACCCAGGATGCACTGATGAGGCGGTCCAGGTTAACGTTACACGTTACCTGAAAGGAGCATCTGACCGTGAAGGCAGAAAAAGGCGCCGCACAGCTGAGAGGGACCCACAGCCGACCACTTAAAACTAGACTGACTACTGACACCCCAGAATCACTGACAACTGGAATCCTTTCTTTATCTTGCAGTCAGTAGAATCAAGACCCCTAAAGAAGTCAGAAGTGTCAGACTACACTCACTCACTGTGGAAATTACTTTCTTTTTTTCTTTTTCAAATAAAGCTTGTAAATCCTTGTGCCACAGGTCAGCATTGCCGTTATAATGGCCTATTCTACTCCAGAGCTTTACTATAAATTACTACCACTTATCATATTGTTAGAAATGGCTTGTAAATGTAGTTATACTTTTATTTATTTGGTATCTTGCACATTATTTGGTATCAAATATCCTCTTTACTTGTCATAATGTTTACTGGTAATTTGTTACCCTAGAGCTGTCCTTTTTATATGAAAACTTATTGTAAGTGTTGTAATTGCAGCCTTTTGAATCCAAAATTGAATTGGAAACCTGCATGTTAGTATATTGATTTATTTATTTTTCTGTTATGTTTCAGTGATCTGAAACATCTTGTTTAAATGACAGTTACTGTACTTTGAAACGTGGAATAAAAATGCCAATTGTAAATTTGTCTGGTTTGAGCAATCATTATTCTTGATAAACTGCATGCTATAAATAAAAAATATATATATATATCTAGCCAGAATAAGCGGCGGCAGAGCGCTCGAAAATAGCGTTTGCCTCCGGCGGGCCGCGGAAGGACGGCCTTCAATATAAAGCGCGGCGGAACGGCGGTTGGCCCGCGGGCCGGCCGCTTAACGAAGGCGGTAGGAAGGCGGCTGCCGCTTTTAAAAAGCGGCTGCCGCCGGCGGTGCGCCGTCCAACGTGTTTGCGATGTCGCCATTCTGACGCTTCTACTGCCGCCGGAGAACCGACGGTGGTCCGCCGACTCATTGCTATCTGGGATGAATGCTTAAAGGATAGCTTAATAATTATTACTAGGCTATTACTATATTAGGCCTAACGTCTAACATATTTTTTGCCGATGTGGAAATCAAATCACCACCGGTTAGGCCATGTGACCCATAGATATCCATAATGAAGGCTAGATGTCTCGTCCGCGCTGCTCGACGTCCGCACCTGGCGGCCATCTTGTCACAGGCAGCTCGCTCACTCGTAACATTGTATTTTAATGGTTCATGTACTTTTTAATTAACCATAGCTTGCTCAATTCTCTACCGATTTTCAATCGGTTTGGTTTGTTATAAACGTCAGAGATGTAGTTATGACACTGCATACTTATGAATAATAAGTGTTAAATAATCATGCAGAATTATAGCCACGTTAATAACGTTTGTAAGAAACCAAACCGTTTGTAAATCCGTCAAGATTTATAATTTGTGTTCTGCTGATCACTCATCTTACATCAGGTACCAAAGAGCCTGCCAGAAAGCTTGCCTGTGACCAGATGGCCGACGACGGTGATGACGATAGAGACTCCGCCATAAGACATCTAGCCTTTATTATGGATATCTATGAAGTGACCAGGAAACGGCCTTTCACAAACTTTTTTTTTTTTTTTAAAGGCATATAGCATATTTAATTTTACTAGAGTTGTATGTACAGCCTATATGTTTTATATTTGTATTCGATCTTACCTGCTTGACCGGGCAATTTTTCTGCAACTTTCTTTTTGAATGCTAAAATAGTCATTTTGTTGAAATCTTCCTCTGACGTCGCAACATCAACGGTTTTTTTCTCCCCCTTTATTCCAACCACCATGATCTGGTAAGTTTTTCCCATTTTAGGAGAACACCTAAAGCACGTTAGGCTAACGTTACTGCAAAACGCCGTATAAAATGTGGAAGTTTCACTTTCTGTTTTTATGTAAGGTGTTGACGCCCTGATAGAAATAATATAGCCTATATTACGCCTACTGTCATAAATAATGCGCAATAATAATCGGCGTTTCTAGGCTAAACGAAATATAATCATCATTTTATTATTCTCATGCTTTAAGCAAACCGTATCCTAAATATCCATGCAAGGCTGTTCCATTTTAGCTACTGTGTTCAAGTGACTATTTTGTCGTTCAGATTTAATATTCATTTGTTCTGTGTAGCTATTAAAAAATAGGCTAACTATCCTCTTTGCAAAAAAAACCCCAAAACAAACAAACAAACACAGACAGGCCTACAGACATAATCTCAACCCATCAGTCGAGAAATCATGTGACAAACTGGAAAGAGAACAAAACACTGTCAACATTAGTCTTGGTTTCATTTCTAAACCGATTTGAACTGTTGGACCAAAAATGACGGAACAACAGCACGAAGAAAAACGCTACGATCCCAATGACACAACGCTGAAGTTTGTAACGCGCCAGGATGACATAAGTATGTATTTACTGTATTTAAATGTATTTATATTCGTTTTTATTTTAAGGAGGCAGAGAGAAACTGAAAACAAGTGCGCTTGTCTCAATAATCCCAACGGCTGTAAAGTAAGATTCGCTAGACATTCGCTTTCATACCCATTAAACTCTCTGGCAATTTCATTTTTTGAGTCCAAACCAACCCAAATATAGCACACAAGGCTAATTTCAAGAAATAAAATATTAATAAGCCATATCAATTTAACTATGACATTGTTATATCAAACTAAAAGTAAAATATTCAGAAAAATATCCCCTTTATGCACAATTCCAATGGAATTAGCATTTCACATGTTTTAAAATAATTTTGGAACTTTAAATGTAGGCTATGCAATAGGGCTACTGTAAATCCATTAAACTACAACACTATTTGGCCTCAATGTATCAAACCAACTGTAAATTACTCAGAGTCAGAATATTATTCTTCATGTTGCACAACTTGGTTTGCTTTTCAGACTTTTTTTTTGGTATATAGGCCTACTGGACCATTTAAATCCATAAAACTAGTATTAAATAACATAACAGTGGCTTCTCTTACTGCAACATAATCTTGATGCTACTACTGAATACTGAGCAATATGTAGTCTTTATGCTGCTTTTAAAATAGAAAGAGTATTCCACGTGAAACGTTTCCGACAGTAGTAGTAGGCTTCTATATATTTGTCACATCATGACCTCATAGTTTCATGTTTAATTATTGTTTTCATTATTTAATTATATGTATTTTGCTCATAAATAAAAATAATAATACAAAATTAAGTGATGAATCAGTTGATTCACTCTTGAAATGAGGCCAAGCACACTGCCTGGACAAGCAATGGCCAAAGGTTTTCGCATATAGAAGCTTGTATTGTCAATAGTACTGAAATTCCTTGTGATTTTAAGCAGTTATTATGGCAACTGCATGTGCATCCATTGCTTAGTAGAATTCAAGTTCAAGTTTGTAGTTAAGTATAAAAATATTCAAAAAGCTTTACACAAAACCAGCCAATTTCCTTGTATATTCAGCCGGGGATGATGACCCTGAGACTCGTCGTGCTGAGATGTCATGTGGCCATGCTGTCACTCCACAGTCACTGACTGGGTGGTGTCGAAGTCTACTTGACCAGGTATTTAGATTAAAGAATCAGTACTTGTTAACAGGCACTTAGTTACAGTAATCTATAATTATTTCTGCCTTTCATTCTCAGGGTCAGCACAAGTTTTTGTGCCCTGCACTTAAAGATGACACAGTGCAAAGATGCAATGCAGAATGGCCCTATGTGGAGGTGCGGAGGTTGGCTGTGCTGACACAAGAGGAACAGAGCCATTTTGAAGAGACAATGGCTGTGCTGGCTGCAGCTGAGTACTGCGAACACAAAACAGTGAGTTCACTCTGAGATGCATGTATCCAAAAATAATTGCATCCTTGAATATTCACTTATGTAAGGATGCAATTTCTTTTTTTTTTTATTAAAGGTGACATATTATGCCCCTTTTCACAAGATGTAATATAAATATGCGGTGTCCCCAGAATGTGTCTGTGAAATTTCAGCTCAAAATACTTCCCAGATTATTTATTAGCTTGTCAAATGTGCCCCCTTTTGGGTGTGAACAAAAACCCGCTGTTTTTGTGTTTGTCCTGAGCTGCTGCTCCCCGTCCTGTTCAGAACAGGGCCACAAGCTTCGGATATTCTGGTGTTGTGCCGAATTTCAACCCCCTGCCAAACGTTTTCTGGGTTGGTAGAAGCACCGGTGACCCGATTATAGCACTTAAACACGGAAAAAGTCAGATTTTCATGATATGTCCCCTTTAACCGTCTGGGCTTCTTCGTTTAGGGGTTACACTTAGCTTCCTCCTGGTCAAAAAAGACGAAAGCCTTAAAATTGAACATTTTCCCCCCAGGAAAACCAATCAAATATGTTCTTGTTCAATAATATTTTTTATTATTATTTAGAATTTTTAAAGATTTTTATGATACTTTGCATTAATTATATAATTTTTATGAGCTGTTTTTTCCATTAGAATTAATATATATATATTTTTATTATTATAATAAATGCAACATTTCACATATATATATATATATATATATATATATATATATATATATATATATATATATATATAAATATATAAATATATAAATGTGTGAAATGTCCTGTAACCGCCTGTAGGCTGCCTATAGCTTCCTATATAAATACATAGAAAGGCTTTTTGATTCCTATTGTTGTTTTACACATTATTTCTCTATCTTATTTGTTTTTTTTATTTAGATATATATTTAGATATTCTAAAATACTTTTTATTTTTTTTAGATAAGTATCAGGTTTTGCATTATGATTACAATCAAACAATAACATTTGGTTAGTAAGGGAACCCAGGCTGTCTGTGGGAATTTTCCCATTCATTTAAGTTGCCATCGTCATCATATGCACTCCGAAGTCCGCGTGCTCGAAAAGGACGCCAGATCCTGCTTATTCGGATGGTGAGTGGTACTCTTTCCGAAATCGCATATAAAGTAGCCAAAATCAGCATAAATTAACATAGGCTCTGTGTGGTAGCCTATAGGGGTGCCAGTGCACTACTGGGTGGTCCACCAAGTGCTTTTGGGGTCCGCCAACTACCTGCTCTTCACCATAGTCCTCCTCAGTGCCACGGAGGGCCTATTTCGACCCCTAACTACCTTTTCTCTCCTTCATCGCCACGAAGTGCCTGTGGGGTCCCCTAACCACCCAAACTTCACCATAGTCTTCCTCGTGGTCCACGAAGTGCCTGTTTCGACCCCTAAACGCCTGTCCTCTTCTTCATTGCTACGGAGTGCCTATGGGGTCCCCTAACCACCTGAACTTCACCACAGTCTTCCTCAGTGCCACGGGGAGCCTTTTTCGACCCCTAACCACCTGTCCTCTTCTTCATTGCCACGGAGTGCCTGGGGGGTCCCCTAACCACCTGAACTTCACCACAGTCTTCCTCAGTACCACGAGGAGCCTTTTTTGACCCCTAACAACCTATCCTCTTCTTCATTGCCACGGAGTGCCTGGGGGGTCCCCTGACCACCCGAACTTCACCATGGTCTTAGTCTCAGGCCACGTGCTCCTCGAAGGGTGGACAGAGAGGTCCGATCGGCCTGAAACTGACGTATGCGTCCCGTCACGGGCCCCTGGGACGGGTTCTAGAGTTCCGCGTCCCTCTGACCTTTTTTCGCGCTAATTGGCCACCAACAGCCCCATGGAACAAGTTGCACGTGGGCCGTCAAACAAACGGGGGCCAAAAGGGGTCGAAAGGTCGCAGCGGCCCCAAACTCGGCACGGCGGTAGTCCGGGGGCCCCCGGTTCTAGATCCTGGATTTGGTGGTTCTAGATCGGTTCTAAGTGTGGGTTCCAGCAAAGCGGCTTGTTGGAAAGGCCCGATCGGCCCGAAACTGACACACGCGTCTCGTCACGGGCCCCGGGGACGGGTTCTAAAGTTCCGCGTCCCTCGGACCTTTTTTCGCGCTAATTGGCCACCAACAGCCCCATGGAACAAGTTGCACGTGGGAAGTCACATAAACAGGGGCCAAAAGGGGTCGAAAGGTCGCAGCGGCCCCAAACTCGACACGGTGGTAGTCCGGGGGCCCCCGGTTCTAGATCCCGGGTCGCCGGGTTCTAGATCGGTTCCGAGTGTGTTTTCAGTTTGACCCTTCGAGAGGGAATGTCAGTCTATGAGCTCACTATGAGTGCAAGATGCTTTTGAGAGAAACTTGAACAAGTGTGGAAAAAAAATGAGCCCTGAGTTCTAGAGACCCGTCCTCCTGATATGTCGTTCGGGGGCCCGAGGGGGCCCGGCACGCAGTGTTTGGGGCCCGTTGGACCCCCGGGGGCCGAACAGGGGCCACTGACACTTGCAACTTATCCCATTCATTTTCACAGGTGTTTCGTGGAACGTGTGACAGAAAGGTCCGATCGACCCGAAACTGACTTATGTGTCCCCTCACGGGCCCCTGGGACGGGTTCTAGAGTTCCGTGTCCCTCTGACCTTTTTTCGCGCTAATTGGCCACCAACAGCCCCATGGAACAAGTTGCACGTGGGCCGTCAAACAAAGGGGGGCCAAAAGGGGTCGAAAGGTCGCAGGGGCCCCAAACTCGGCACGGCGGTAGTCCGGGGGCCCCCGGTTCTAGATCACGGGTCGCGCGGTTCTAGATCGGTTCTAGGTATGTGTTTCGGCCAAACGGTTTGAAGGAAACGCCCGATTGTCCCGAAACTGACGTATGCGTCCCGCCACGGGCCCCGGGGACGGGTTCTAGAGTTCCGCGTCCGAAACAGCTCGTTTGCCCGAAAAAAGACCCCCTTGACCGGGAAGCGCCTGTGAAGTTTGCATTGAACAAGTTGCACGTGGGCGGGCGGAAATGCAGGGGTCGAAAGGTCGCACCGCCTCCAAATTCCCTGCCCTGGTAGTCGAGGGGCCCCCGGTTCTAGATCCCGGGTCGCAGGGTTCTAGATCGGTTCCAAGTGTGTGTTTTTGCAGTGCAAAAATCTCCTCACTTTGGTTCACTCTGACTGCATGTATGTCTATGTGTGAGAGAGGGCGGCCATTAATCGGACCATGTGCTCGCTGAAGGGTGGACAGAAAGGTCCGATCGGCCCGAAACTGACGTATGCGTCCCGTCACGGGCCCCTGGGACGGGCCCTAGAGTTCCGCGTCCCTCTGACCTTTTTTGGCGCTAATTGGCCACCAACAGCCCCATGGAACAAGTTGCACGTGGGCCGTCAAACAAACGGGGGCCAAAAGGGGTCGAAAGGTCGCAGCGGCCCCAAACTCGGCACGGCGGTAGTCCGGGGGCCCCCGGTTCTAGATAATGGATTTGGTGGTTCTAGATCGGTTCTAAGTATGGGTTTCAGCAAAACGGCTTGTTGGAAAGGCCCGATCGGCCCGAAACTGATACATGCGTCTCGTCACGGGCCCCGGGGACGGGTTCTAGAGTTCCGCGTCCCTCTGACTTTTTTTCGCGCTAATTGGCCACCAACAGCCCCATGGAACAAGTTGCACGTGGGCCGTCAAACAAACGGGGGCCAAAAGGGGTCGAAAGGTCGCAGCGGCCCCAAACTCGACACGGTGGTAGTCCGGGGGCCCCCGGTTCTAGATCCCGGGTCGCCGGGTTCTAGATCGGTTCCGAGTGTGTTTTCAGTTTGACCCTTCGAGAGGGAATGTCAGTCTATGAGCTCACTATGAGTGCAAGATGCTTTTGAGAGAAACTTGAACAAGGGAGGGAAAAAAATGAGCCCTGAGTTCTGGAGACCCGTCCCCCTGATATGTCGTTCGGGGGCCCGAGGGGGCCCGGCACGCAGCGTTTGGGGCCCGTGGGACCTCGGGGGGCCGAACAGGGGCCACTGACACTTGCAACTTATCCCATTCATTTTCACAGGTGTTTCGTGGAACGTGTGACAGAAAGGTCCGATCGACCCGAAACTGACTTATGTGTCCCCTCACGGGCCCCTGGGACGGGTTCTAGAGTTCCGTGTCCCTCTGACCTTTTTTCGCGCTAATTGGCCACCAACAGCCCCATGGAACAAGTTGCACGTGGGCCGTCAAACAAAGGGGGGCCAAAAGGGGTCGAAAGGTCGCAGGGGCCCCAAATTCGGCACGGCGCTAGTCCGGGGGCCCCCGGTTCTAGATCACGGGTCGCGCGGTTCTAGATCGGTTCTAGGTATGTGTTTCGGCCAAACGGTTTGAAGGAAACGCCCGATTGTCCCGAAACTGACGTATGCGTCCCGCCACGGGCCCCGGGGACGGGTTCTAGAGTTCCGCGTCCCTCGGACTTTTTTTCGCGCTAATTGGCCACGAACAGCCCCATGGAACAAGTTGCACGTGGGCCGTCAAACAAACGGGGGCCAAAAGGGGTCGAAAGGTCGCAGCGGCCCCAAACTCGACACGGTGGTAGTCCGGGGGCCCCCGGTTCTAGATCCCGGGTCGCCGGGTTCTAGATCGGTTCCGAGTGTGTTTTCAGTTTGACCCTTCGAGAGGGAATGTCAGTCTATGAGCTCACTATGAGTGCAAGATGCTTTTGAGAGAAACTTGAACAAGTGTGGAAAAAAAATGAGCCCTGAGTTCTAGAGACCCGTCCTCCTGATATGTCGTTCGGGGGCCCGAGGGGGCCCGGCACGCAGTGTTTGGGGCCCGTTGGACCCCCGGGGGCCGAACAGGGGCCACTGACACTTGCAACTTATCCCATTCATTTTCACAGGTGTTTCGTGGAACGTGTGACAGAAAGGTCCGATCGACCCGAAACTGACTTATGTGTCCCCTCACGGGCCCCTGGGACGGGTTCTAGAGTTCCGTGTCCCTCTGACCTTTTTTCGCGCTAATTGGCCACCAACAGCCCCATGGAACAAGTTGCACGTGGG